GACACTGTATGTTACACTGTGCTCACATACTGTAAAAACAGTAGTTTTAAATACATGCTGAACCAGGAGCAAATCCAGAACACGTGGAAACAGATATATTCTTCAAATCTCAGCTGATTCCTCACCGGTCAGGCCCCACCAGGTGGGACAGCGGCTGGTCAGTTTGACGACACCCGACACAAACATCAGCCGAAACAACAGCCAGCGCGCCAGCCAGAAAGTCACGCTGTCATGGAGACGCACCTTTGAAGACCAGGGCATTTTCATGGGAGCGATGAGAATGGCCAAGAAGCCCGTCTCCAGCAAGAGGTTATCCCTGAGATCAAGATGTTTGACACATTCTAACTCTGGCTTCTGATGTGCTGAAGTCATTTCACATTAACACAGACGTGAGACTACTGTAAATAATACTCAGAGTATCTCTCAAGATCAAGATTGTTTTGTTGCTACGGTTGGAAAGCAGTTAAACAAAGCCATAGACAGTTATATAACAGACATAATTTGGGGAATAAGAACACTTGTGAATCAATAAAACATCTGGTGGTGCACCAGCAACACACTGACAGAAAATCTAATACTCATCACTGAAAGTATAAGAAGACTTGGCCAACCTACAGAAACAAGAAGCATTACATTTCAGTACCTTCCGCATTAACTTCTAAAATCACATTTTTTCCCTTGATAAGTAGTATTCGTGATACCTACTGGTCAGCAAATATGTTTTTTTAGGTAATGGTCAACAGCAGGTTGAATATATAGCAAATATAATATAATACAACAGAGTTAAAGAAAGCAAATGAGACAAAATTACTTTTTTTTGCACATTTTTATATATATAATTTAGCATTATATTACTAAATTAGATGCTATATTATATAATATCTTATAAATGATACAAAACAGTTTAAAGAAAAATATCTATTGTAATGTAAAAAAAAAAATATATATATATAATTACATTTTACATACAGTGCAGTTTAAAGATAGCAAATGAGACTAAATTATTTAAAATAAATCTAAAAATAAATTTAAAAAATAATATATTATGCAAATACAAACTTATGTATTATTAAATATATTTTCAAAATGTATGCAATTCAAAACTATGTACATACATATGATGTGTGTATGTATACATATACATGTACATTTCTGTTGGCAAAATATCATATAATGTCACAATATCAAGTGTAAAAAAAAAAAAATAAGAAGGCCAGCAATAGGGCCTAATTAATTGGCCAGTGTTTGGTCATTATTTTGATTATCAGCATCAGCCAATAACCTGGTACAAGGAGTTTCCAGATACTAATTTATGTTTAATCTTTTTTTCTGCCAGAAGTTTTTTGGGGAATTTTTTTGTTTTTGCTGTCAGCCATAGGCCACCTGTTCTCTTTACATGACACAAGCCAGTGAAAACCGCATCCGCATACTGGTCTACCACTAGTGGTGTCAGTACTGTGTGAACTGCGTCTGTACCTGGTAGAGGAACAGATAGAGTATCCAGAGCACCAGGAAGACTCTGCAGTCTCTGAGCACCGGCAGAGCCAGAGTCAATAAACTGAGCAGAGCTCCGGTCAGACTCAGCAGCTCCATGCACTGCTGCGTGTCCAAACCCAGACGAGGACCGAACCACAGCAGCATGGGAGAATCCTTCAGCTGCTCCACAACACTCTTCCCAGACACCCGCAGCTGCCACCGCGCCGGCAGCACACCCTCGTTCCCATACAGACCTAAAGACAGACAGAGATCACATGGTCAATGCCACAAAATAAGTTTTGAATTGTGACCTAAAAATGGTGCAGAATCTGTAGGGCTGCCCCCTAATAGTCGACTAATTGTTAGTCGACCAGAAGAGGCTCGGTCGACCAAAATTTTATTAGTCACTTTAGTCGCAGAAAAGAAAAAAAAAATCCACGGGTGAAGTCATGCAATCCGTGACTAACAGATCGTTAATGGCTAGTCATTGGTAATACAGTACATCGACGGGCAGGACATCCAAACGCTCGACTATCATTCATCGACCTCTCAAATATGGCTTATCATCTGAAATATGTAAGTATTAGCAACTTTACATGGCCGCTCAATCTAATGTTAACCTAGAGAAATGTCCGCTATTCAAGTGTCTGTGTGGAAGCTGAACAGCAGCTCGCTCACTGCAGGACAGATGGAGGTGCCGGTCCGCTCACTTGCTCTTAAAATAATCCCTCATTTTTGCAGGGGCGGTACTAGACCATAGTAACTGGGGGGGGCCAGACAGGGGCCACTTGCGCTTTTAGGGGGCACAATTTTAAATTTCATCTTAACCTACATTTTTCGTCCATGTCATTTTTCACCATGTCATGACTCATGTATCACTGCAATCTCTAGAAGTAATCTATAACAATTTCAACTAAAATTAATGTTTCATCATGTTTCATATTATTTGACAAATAATTCTGTATTGTAGTGTCAGGGGCATCATGCACTTATTATTTTTGAGGGGGCACAGGTGAAGGGGAGGGGCTATCATGCTGGTCATTTGACACACAGCAGCCACAATACCACTGTATAACTGATATAGCCTTATGTCCCTACTGAAGAAAAAAAACAATAAAACCATCACAGAAAATGTTAATGGTTTCCACTACAAATACCATTACAAACTTTACAAACCATCAACGTTTAACCATTAAAATTTTTTTTTCTGTAGTGTGTTTTGGGACATATTCCATTAGGATTTATTGGTTTTAACAAGCCACCAATAGAAGGCAACCAATTACCAGTAAAGACCAACAGGGTCCATTACAGTTTCCAGTAACACCAATACAAGTCCCATTATAACCAGTAAAACCATTGCAAATTTTGTAATGTGTCTATTGTTTTTTTCAGCAGGGATTAATAAATTTTTTTTTTATTCGAAATACCCCCCAAATATATAATGAAATATCTTGATTCTCAAGTAAGTAAATGCATTTTACACCTTTATAGATTGTTAGTTGATCTATAATTCACGACAAACTGCGCATTTCAACCAAAATTGTTTGGTGTGATATGATGCAGCCTCCTTACCGTTTTTCCCTGACACATTCATAATTATTTCTTCTGCCGGTGCGCTGTGGCAAGCTTTATGCGTGTGCTTGAGCATTTATTAGGCTATGTATGCCATTAAAGGCTCATTATGACCAGGGGCGGTTCTAGACCACAGTAACTGGGGGGGCCAGACAGGGGCCACTTGTGCTTTTAGGGGGCACAATTTTAAAATTCATCTTAAACTACTTTAAGTAGCCTATTATTCATTCAGTCATTTTTCACCATGTCATGTATCACTACAATCTCTAGAAGTAATCTATAACCATTTCAAATAAAATGAATGGTTCATCATTGTTCTTTTTTTTTGACACATAATTTTGTATTGTAGTGTCAGGGGCATCATGCACTTATTATTTTTGAGGGGGCACAGGTGAAGGGGAGGGGCTATCATGCTGGTCATTTGACACACAGCAGCCACAATACCACTGTATAACTGATATAGCCTTATGTCCCTACTGAAGAAAAAAAACAATAAAACCATCACAGAAAATGTTAATGGTTTCCACTACAAATACCATTACAAACTTTACAAACCATCAACGTTTAACCATTAAAATTTTTTTTTCTGTAGTGTGTTTTGGGACATATTCCATTAGGATTTATTGGTTTTAACAAGCCACCAATAGAAGGCAACCAATTACCAGTAAAGACCAACAGGGTCCATTACAGTTTCCAGTAACACCAATACAAGTCCCATTATAACCAGTAAAACCATTGCAAATTTTGTAATGTGTCTATTGTTTTTTTCAGCAGGGATTAATAAATTTTTTTTTTATTCGAAATACCCCCCAAATATATAATGAAATATCTTGATTCTCAAGTAAGTAAATGCATTTTACACCTTTATAGATTGTTAGTTGATCTATAATTCACGACAAACTGCGCATTTCAACCAAAATTGTTTGGTGTGATATGATGCAGCCTCCTTACCGTTTTTCCCTGACACATTCATAATTATTTCTTCTGCCGGTGCGCTGTGGCAAGCTTTATGCGTGTGCTTGAGCATTTATTAGGCTATGTATGCCATTAAAGGCTCATTATAATGATTTAAATGGTTTATTAATAAACATGCGATTAGTCGACTGATGCTTCAAATGAACGACTACTATTCGACCAGAAAAATCCTTAGTCGAGGGCAGCCCTAAGAATCTGAAATGAGATTTATTTTATGTCATAGTGTTACTTTAAGTTTTAGATTTTTCAGAATCCTTAAAACTTTATTTCCAGGTTTCAGGTCCCAGATTTTTTATGTGGTCTCAGACTTTTGGACGCCGCATGGTTCTGAATGATTACCATATTCATACACTATGAAATTTATGTGAAATTACATGAGAAAACATGACATATGCTATACATGCAATATTGGTGATATATGCTAGACAATGTACAGTGGTGGCCAAAATGATTACCTTGTGCAAACAAAAATTTCACTGGATTATTACAATTAATGAAAAATGAATGTTTGGAAATGTAAACTGTTATTTCCTACTGACACATTACAGCAAAAGATAGAAATAACTGACTTAAAACCATTTTTAACTGCTGAAAATACTAGTGTTCTAATCATTTTGGCCACCACTGTACATTATGAAATTTACATGAAAATACATGCGAAAACATGACATATGCTATACATGCAACATGAAAATACTATAATAAATGTGTGCATATATGATTTCCGATATATGAAATGCATTTCCTCTTGAGTGAAAGTATGGCTGTAATATTCAGACTTCCCAGATTTTAATATAGCATCTTTGATTTTACAGTCTGTATGCTTCTGAACAGATCACGAAGCAAACATAACTGTTTCTTTTGGCCAAATTATTCCGCATTCATTGCAATTATAATATCTTAGATCAGAACAACGAGAAATTAAACCCATTATATGTTCATTAAAAAACGGAAGAATTTGACAAAGACTAAACACACCAGAGCAATAATAGTTTTATTCAATTATATCTTATTAATGTGCAATTTTGATTTGTCCGCAGGCAAACACATATACAAAATAATAGCATTAAAAGTCAGTCAACACATGAACAGAGCCGCCCACCTCATTGATCCAGACCCATCATCTGTACATTCAAGTGTCAGTCCATGGTGAACACAACTCTGCCCTAAAATATCTCTTTCTCGTAATGATTAACTGGCATTGCACATGCAAGAGAACCGGACCGGCCTTGCAGAAGTCCGACCCAAACATTATGATTAAAAAAAAGCATACATCGTGGCACATGAAAGCAAACAAATGTTTCCAGCATTTGACATGATTTTAAAGAGATCGGTAGGACATGACAGGAAGTGTCTTATTTAAAACCAGTATTTAAAATCCTGAACTGGATGTCCATGTGAGTGCATCAGTAGTTTATTCCTTTATTTAAATACAAAACATGGCCATTTAAAGAGTCGTTGACACATTTACACACTCTTTACGAACACAAAGACGAATTTTATAGACCTTTTGAATTTGGTAGCTGCCTCCGCCACATTTGGACAAAATGGAATGTGAACAACAATGGCCAACACATAGAAACATGACAGATGACCTTTCTGAAAGGCTTCTGACGGAGGGGATTTTAAAACATTATTCTGAAATAAAACAAAATATTGGCCATTTAATGGGTCTAAAATATGACACTTTGGAGAACTAACCAATAAGGTCTAGATTTTCGCTTCTTTTTGGAGATTTGGTTGGTAGATTTAGCGTGACACTGCTTTAAATGGCATGGTTCATGTTAAGACTCGTTTACTTGAGAGTTTGTCGGTGTGTGTATGCGAGTTCACGTTCCTTCCGCACCGTTGGAGGTGTGTGTGGTGGCTGACTGTGTCTGTACCGAAGTCGACTCGAGTTCAGATTCTCGGACGAACATGACAGCGTCCCCACTGACGTTGATTAGGCACTGCGCCTGTAAAGCACACAACATGAGCATAAATGCACAAACGTGATGGGTTGAGTGTGTATGAGTCTGTGTGTGTGACTGTGCATGTATTAACCTGGTTCTTGTTAGGGTTCTCCATGAACACACACTCCTTCATGCTGTAGGAGACGACAGCATTTCCTCCAAGAGCAGCGACGTGGGCACGAACCATCGCAAATACTTCAGCAATAAACGTATGCAGAAACCCACTCACACCTCCCTCCTAAAACATAAGAAAAAAATCATGCAATGTGACAATAATAATACTACCAAGAATATAAATGAATTACTACTTACTATGTTTAATTAATTTTAATAACATAATATTATTAAAAATCTTATTACAATAAAAGCAATAATATTTGGCACTATTAATATTTTTTTATTATTCATAATAACAACAACAATACAATTTACCATAATAAATAATATTATTACCAATATTTTCATCAATGTAAATAATTGTAATTAATTGTAATTTTTTTTAAATATTACAATAAAAGCAATAATATTTGGCACTATTAATATTTTTTTATTATTCATAATAACAACAATACAATTTACCATAATAAATAATATTATTACCAATATTTTCATCAATGTAAATAATTGTAATTAATTTTATTTTTTTTAAAATATTACAATAAAAGCAATAATATTTGGCACTATTAATATTTTTTATTATTCATAATAACAACAACACAATTTACCATAATAAATAATATTACCACCAATATTTTCATCAATGTAAATAATTGTAATTCATTTAAAAATGTTTAATATTATTACAATACTTCATATAAACAAGTCATTATATTATATTAATAATAATTTATTTGAATTGCATAAAACTTAAAATTTTATTCAAATATATATTTTTTGTATTAATTCATATTATTACAATAAAAGCAATAATATTTGGCACTATTAATATTTTTTATTATTCATAATAACAACACAATTAGCCATAATAAATAATATTGTTACCAATATTTTCATCAATGTAAATAATTGTAATTATTTAAAAATGTTTAATATTATTACAATAAAAGCAATAATATTTGGCACTATTCATATTTTTATTATTCATAATAACAACAACACAATTTACCATAATAAATAATATTATTATAAATATTTTCATCAATGTAAATAATTGTAATTAATTGAAAAATGTTTAATATTATTACAATACTTTATATAAACAAGTCATTATATTATATTATTAATAATAATTTATTTTAATAGCATAAAATGTTTAATATTATTCAAATATTTGTTATTTGCATTAATTAAAGAACATTTTAATAACACAAATATTATTTAATATTAAATTAATAACAATAATTAGTCATTTTAGTATTAATAATTGTAAAAAAATTTAATTAAATATTAATAAATAAATATTTATTTAATAGCATTAATATAAAAATATTCAAAATTAAGAATATTTATTATTGTTATTGCTATTAATATTATATTGTTATATTATTTTCAATTGCATTAATATTATAAAAATACTTAACATTAATTTTATTCTTATTAATAATAATAATTATACTAATAATAACAAGCAAATGTCTTAATGTACGTGACCTGAATGAGTCTAAAAACAGTGAGACTGCTACCTCTCTGAGTGAGGTGGTCTCTCTAATGAAGAACATGTTGATGATGCCAAGGTATTTGATGATCTTTGCTCCAGGAATGAAAGAGAGCGGGGTCATTTTGACGACTGCCACAGAACTGCCCGAGTAGGAACGGTTTGACCGAAGAGAACGAGAGCGACCTTCAGGCAACGGGCTGGCCTTCTCCATAGATGATGCTGTTGAGAGTAAGAGAGAGAGAGAGGGAAAGAGAGAAAGAGAAGAGAGAAAAGAAAGAGGGGGGTGGAATATACCAGACATGGCCTTCAGAGGGCGCTGTACAAGACCAACGGATGTGACGAGACAAACATAGTGTGACCGAGGAAAAAGGACGTGTGCATTTGTGATCAAAGCAAAGCAAAGCAATGGCACTGCACCATGCAAATAAACAGCATGCAAATACAGAGACAGAGGAGGAGAGAAAGAATGAATGTACGCATGTTCAGTCTGCCTTGATAAATCAGAGGATGATGAGCTTTGAAGAGGGAGGACACTTTTTCCATCAAGAGTGTGAAAGAGCTCAATCTCAAAGCTGTAATACATCATACATGACGCTGCATCACAACTGTTACACAGAGCGCTAATGCGCATGCAGCTCCCAAACATCGCTCAAACTATCTGTCAGTGGACTGAATTAGGGCTGGGCGATATTAATGTGATTATTTTGTTGACGGCATACAATAAAGCAACACAGTGAATACTGCAATGATTTCAGTGGCTGTTGAGTTGATATTTCAGCATCTACATAAATATTGAGATATATTATGAAAAAGAGATTTTTTTTTTTTTTAGCTATAACGCCCAACCCTGAACTGTACAACCTGTGCAGCCATACTTAAGATGCATTAACGCATCATATGTTACTCTGCATGGGACAATGACAGAGTTGGTCTGTGCTTTATTCATACTCATCACATCAGCAAGATCAATTATGAAATCACTGAGGCACAACTGAAAGAGTGACAGTCTTCATCTTGGTTCCTCACTAGGACTCAACCTTCACACTATGTTAATCATGTTTGATTGGATCGGCGTATGGCAGCAAGACTTGTCCACTTTTGGATGCAGGACATGGGAGTATGTGTGTGTAAGGATGCGTGAAGAAGTATAGACTGTAGTCAGAGTAGATGCCATTTTAAATTTGATACATTTGATTTTTAATGAATACGAGGCTGTGAGGGTTAGAAGATAATGTCATACTGCTGTGTACAGAGGACTTTAAAACAATATTGAACACATTGAACCAGAGCCCCATTTTCGTTCACATTAAATAAAATATGTAAAAAAATCAATAATTCACCAAATAAAATTATTCACCAAAAAATGTTAACTTTTGGAACACCAAAATGAAAACATACTCCTAAACCATTTTACTTCCATACTGTTTTACATACAAAACACAAAAAATTATATTAATTAAAATATATATTTTTTGTGTTTTGTATGCGTTATGTATTATTTTAGTGGAATTTGGAATAATGTGCACCTATGAAATTAACGTAATAAGACCAAGAAAATGTAAAAATTTTTTATTAAGGGCCCATTTTGATTTCATCTTAAAGTTAAAGATCCTTTTAAGTATGCAGACTACTCCAACTAGGGTCTATGTGATTGTGCATGTCTGTGTATGTAAGCGAGTTTGCGTGTGTGCTCCTACTTGTTTTAACCGATCCGCGTCTTATGGTGTGAGCTTTCAGTTTAAGCTGCTCTATCCAGGAGCTGCATCTGTCTGCAAAGGAACTGTAATCAACTGAGGAGGCTGGACACACACACACACACACACATATATATATATATATATATATAGACCGACATTCAGAAACAAACACAGATAGACACAAACACGCACATAGAAATATGCGGTCACAAATCCCGCAGACAAGTACATACACACAACGACACAACAGAGGGACAAAGAGAAGAGGAAACAAGACACAGAAAGAAAGAAAGAAAAAAAGGGGTAAAATGGATGATGCTAGTGTGTGTGCTGCAGCACTTCAAACTGTCACACACAAAAGGAGCAGAAATCAAAAGGGGAAAAAAACACCCTGCTGCCTCCAGAACTCTTAGCAACAGATCAGGTACTGACCTCTGGCTGATGGATGGCTGCCAACCTCTGATAGACCTGAGACACACAAAGGAAACCAATGCAGTGTTAAAGGGATGACACTAAAGAAAACCTCACGTCCGTAGACACGGTGTAACATTGGTTTTGCTTTGTTTCACAGAACTAATCGTGGCCTGGGTGTGGGGACACGCGCACACACATATTGTGATATACTCTCATGATCTGTTAAAATAGTCTATTTATTTTGATATTGTCCTTAAAATCTCCAGAGAGAGAGAGAGAGAGAGAGAGAGGTAGAGAGAAAGAGAAGAGAGAAAAGAAAGATACCAGACATGGCCTTCAGAGGGCGCTGTACAAGACCAACGGATGTGACGAGACAAACATAGTGTGACCGAGGAAAAAGGACGTGTGCATTTGTGATCAAAGCAAAGCAAAGCAATGGCACTGCACCATGCAAATAAACAGCATGCAAATACAGAGACAGAGGAGGAGAGAAAGAATGAATGCACGCATGTTCAGTCGGCCTTGACAAATCAGAGGATGATGAGCTTTGAGGAGGGAGGACACTTTTTCCATAAAGAGTGTGAAAGCTTGAAATCTCAAAGCTGTAAAACATCATTCATGACGCTGCATCACAATTATTACACAGAGCACTAATGCGCATGCAGCTTCCAAACATTGCTCTAACTATCTGTCAGTAGACTCAATTAGGGCTGGGCGATATATACAGTTTTACTGTGATTATTTTGTTGACGCATACAATAAAGCAACATAGTGAATACTGCAATGATTTTATGAAAGCAATATCATGATTTGAACATTAGAATCAGTTCTGTTACATTCATTTACATGAAACATGAATTAGTTCAAGCCCTTTTCGAAGAACTGATTTAAAATTTAAAAAATTGATTTAAAAACATTTAGAAGTCTCCATTCGTCATTTTTCATGTTTCAGTAAAAACAATATGTACACAAATACTGCTGTTTATTCCTACGTGTTATCAGGGTTTCCACACGTTCTGAGCAATGAACGTCCATCATTTTTCAATAACAAACTAAAGTTGTTCAACTAAAGCCATTAATAGTATTTTATAAACATCACTCACAAAAAGTAAATTTTACAATGGAGCATAACATAATATAACAACATAATTTAGGACAAATTTAGAAATAACCATGACTACATAATGACTGTTTATATTAAATTATTTAACATTTTAATTATAAAAATGTTAATATTAAAAATATAGCGATCATAACTTAGTCATTTGTATTACTACTAATAAAATGTTAATAATAACAATAGCATAACTGGACAAATTTTGAATTTTTCATGACTATCATGACGATTTTTTTTATTAAATGATATAAATATTCATATTTAATAATAACAACAATAATTTTTAATAATGTTTTATTACTATTAATTCATTTAAAAAATATTAGTATTATTTAATATTTAAATCATTCAAATTTCTGTGACTTTTCCAGACCAGGAAATCACGCTTTTGGAGTTTCCAATTTCCAGGTTTTCCAGAGATGCAAGAATGCTGTTATAATGGTTCATAGAAATTAAAATTATTTAACAAGTTTCTTAATCATTTTTGTGCTCATTTAGTGAAAAACTGTGTGGAAAACATGACTTGACTGTTTTTTTACTAAATGTGTCATTTCAGAGCATTTACATAAATATTGAGATATAAATTATGAAAAAGAGATATTTTTTTAAGCTATAACGCCCAACCCTGGACTATACAATCTGCACAGCTATACTTATGATGCCTCAATGCATCATATGCGACTCTGCATGGGCCCATGACAGAGTTGGTCTGTGCTTTGTTCATACTCATTACATCAGCAAGCTCAAACATTGAAATCACTGAGGCACCACTGAAAGAATGACAGTCTTCATCTTGGCTCCTCACTAGGACTGAACCTCAACTTTCACACTCTGTCAATCAAGATTGATCGGATCGGCATATGGCAGCAAGACTCATCCACTTTTTGATGCAGGACATTTGAGTATGTGTGTATAAGGATGCATGTAGAAGTATAGACTGTAGTCAGAGTAGATGTCATTTTAAATTTGACATTTGATTTTTAATAAATACAAGGCTGTGAGGGTTAGAGGATAATATGTCATACTGCAATGTACCTTGGTCTTCATTAAGCAGGCAAAAATTGTAAAAACATAAAATTTAAAACATGGTTTATGAAAGTTTCCTGTGACCTAGGACTTATTTAACACATTGAACTTCAAACCCCCCAGAGCCCCATTTACTTCCATATTGTGATTATCAAAATAAGCTTATTTACATAAATTACATACATAAAAAATTATATATACATTTACATACATACATATGTGACCCTGGACCACAAAACCAGTCATAAGCTGGTTTTGACTGGTTCATCTAAGCTGAATAAATAAGCTTTCCATTGATGTATGGTTTGTTAGGATAGGACAATATTTGGCCGAGATACAACTATTTGAAAATCTGGAATCTGAGGGTGCAAAAAAATCAAAATACTGAGAAAATCGCCTTAAAGTTGTCCAAATGAATGCATATTACTAATCAAAAATGAAGTTTTGATATATTTACAGTAGGAAATTTACAAAATATCTTTATGGAACATGATCTTTACTTAATGTCCTAATGATTTCTGGCATAAAAGAAAAATCAATCATTTTGACCCACACAATGTATTTTTGGCTATTGCTACAAATATACCCCAGCGACTTAAGACTGGTTTTGTGGTCCAGGGTCACATATGTGAGTATAGCAAGGTATTATTTTAGTGGAACATCAATTTGGAATAATGTGCACCGAAGACGCCCAAGCAAATGTTTATGAAAATTGTATTAAGGTAGTATGTTAAGTACCGGTATATTGGGCCCATTTTGATTACATCTTGAAGTTAAAGATCCTGTTAAATATGCAGTTTACTCTGACTAGGGTCTATGTGATTGTGTGTGTAAGCGAGTTTGCGTGTGTGCTCCTACTTGTTTTAACCGATCCGCGTCTTATGGTGTGAGCTTTCAGTTTAAGCTGCTCACACACACACGCACACACACACGCACACACACACGCACACACACACGCACACACACACGCACACACACACACACGCCCGCACACACACACACACGCACACACACACGCACACACACACGCACACACACACGCACACACACACGCACACACACACACACGCACACACACACGCATATATAGACAGACATTCAGAAACGAGCACAGATAGACACGAACACACACACAGAAATATGTGCACATGCGGTCACAAATCCCGCGGACAAGTACATACACACAACGACACAACAGAGGGACAAAGAGAAGAGGAAATAACACAAAAAGAAAGAAAAAAAAGAAAAAAGGGGTAAAATGGATGATGCTGGGGTGTGTGCTGCAGCACTTCAAACTGTCACACACAAAAGGAGCAGAAATTAAAACAAAAAAAACACCCTGCTGCCTCCAGAACTCTCAGCAACGGATCAGGTACTGACCTCTGGCCGACAGATGGCTGCCAACCTCTGATAGACCTGAGACACACACACACACACACAGGAAACCAATGCTGTGTTAAAGGGACACACCAAGGAAAACAGGATATTCCTTAATATTGTGAAAAGCCAGTGTGCAATCAGAACTCAATAATTTTTATGATAATTTTTCCTAAGATTTTAGTGGCCCCAGCAAAAAAAATAATAAATAAAAAATAAACAATCCATATACACACACGTATATTTTTGTTTAAAACTATTATTATTACTATTATATTAGCAGTTTATATGTGACAGAAAATTTTTTACAGTGGTAGCCAAAATATTTAGAACACTAGTATTTTCAGAAGCTAAAAATGGTTTTAAGTCAGTTATTTCTATTTTTTGCTGTAGTGTGTCAGTAGGAAATCCAAACATTCATTTAGCCATTAATTGTAATAATCCAGTGAGATTTTTTTTTTGCACAAGGACTCTGACAACAGCCAGATCTAATCTCATCATCATCCAGTCTGTCTGGAATAACATGAAGAAACAGAACAAACTGAGACCGAATAAATCCAGAAGAACTGTGGCAACGTCTCCAAGATGCTTCAAGAAACCTACCTGCAAAAATGCAGTAACATGAGGAATGCTGTCAAAAATAATGTCATAAATAGATTTTCTTTATCAGTTAATTCCTATTAACTAAATTAAATCAACATTTGGTGTGAGCATCCTTTGCGTTGAAAGCAGTCTGTGCCCTCGGTGTACTTGTGCATAGTTTTTCAGTAGTTTTGCAGGTAGGTTTCTTGAAGCATCTTGGAGACGTTGCCACAGTTCTTCTTAGCATTTTCACCAGTTAAAAATGGTTTTAAGTCAGTTATTTCTATCTTTTGCTGTAGTGTGTCAGTAGGAAATATCAGTTTACATTTCAAAACGTTCATTTTGCCATTAATTGTAATAATCCAGTGAGATTTTTTTTTTGCACAAGGACTCTGACAACAGCCAGATCTAATCTCATCATCATCCAGTCTGTCTGGAATAACATGAAGAAACAGAACAAACTGAGACCGAATAAATCCAGAAGAACTGTGGCAACGTCTCCAAGATGCTTCAAGAAACCTACCTGCAAAAATGCAGTAACATGAGGAATGCTGTCAAAAATAATGTCATAAATAGATTTTCTTTATCAGTTAATTCCTATTAACTAAATTAAATCAACATTTGGTGTGAGCATCCTTTGCGTTGAAAGCAGTCTGTGCCCTCGGTGTACTTGTGCATAGTTTTTCAGTAGTTTTGCAGGTAGGTTTCTTGAAGCATCTTGGAGACGTTGCCACAGTTCTTCTGGATTTATTCGGTCTCAGTTTGTTCCGTTTCTTCATGTTATTCCAGACAGACTGGATGATGAATGTTTATTTATTTTTATATTTTTTGTTGTCATTTTCATTTTAAAGTTTAGTAATTTTTGCCATTTTTTTATTTTTTTAATGTATTTCTTAATGTATTAAACTGAATGAAAATGAGAACTAGACAGAAAAAAAAAACAATTTCAGTTGGCATTTATTTTATTTCAATTAATGAAAATGTATTTTACGGCTTTGGTTTTAATGCACTATAATAATGCACCTAGCACTAATATAAAAGGAATATGGCAAACATTTGCAGAGCTATAAAGGACTGTATGTGAAGTTTAAAGTGAGGATTCACCAGGGTTTACCTTTGGGGGAGCTGAGAGGATTGGGAGCAGATGTTTCAGCATTGAGCTCCAGATTAAACTGAAGCTGCTCGTCATTTTCTGTTATGGCTGCAAGAGACAATCAACATTGAGGATTTGCTTTTCAAAAAAATGTCTTACATGAACATGCTATACATACAGTACAGCACATGCTTACCCTTTATCAGTGTCTTTTCCCCACTTTGTTTGCCATTCTCCAAAAGTTGCTCTTTGTCAAAGCTCATTGCCACAGCTGTCACCGCCACCTGCCAATTAAAAAACACAGACCAATCACGTGTGACAGAGGTAAAAGAACGGGAATGAATCTAAACAGGACAAACAGACCTTAATGCCTTCGCTCTTACTTACTTTTTTGTTGTTTAAAAGTAATAAGATCACAAACTGAATGTTTAATAACATATTTAACCATTAAGGAAATAAGGTCAGTGTTCTCACCTGAATGAGCTCATCTTCAGGTATGGCTACGGTGAAGTTCAAGTGACAAAGACAACAGGGGACCATCGACCGCAGTTTGAAGTACAAACTCTACAGAGTATACACATATATTCCAGCTAGAGCAGTGATATCCAAACACACTTAAATCATTTGGTTTAGCTGGTCCATATCAAACCATGGTTGTACTGATCTCATGAGGAAAAAAAATAGATAAATGTATTCAGAAAATAGGAAAGATTTATTCACCTTCAGCAGATTCTCACAGAGGTCACTGAAAATCTTATTCAGCCCCTGATTGGTTAAGTTGGCGTTAAGGCGGAAGACCCTCACAGAGGTAAACATCTGAAGAAAAATATGTTTGATTCCACACCAGACAACGACATGCTCATATAAAGTTATATAAACATTATAGAGACAATAAATATGTTTTTCCAGAGTGAGCATCTCTCAAACTAGCTTCATCTGTTTGCATATAGTAGGGCAACAATAACTGTCTTCATTGTTAATATATACACATATAAAATGCTGCTCATAAAATTTATATCTGTGCTGTGGTTTGAAATGGCTCTTGCTGCCATTCTGGCTTTATTAAAATACTGTCCATTTCCTGAAAACTGCAGATGGTGTGTTGATGTGTTTACATCTTCAAGAACTCAAAACTCAACAGAAACCAACAGGTTCACTGGGATGAACGTTACCTGTATAGCTGAAGTCCAGTTCTGAATCCCAGGCATTATCTCAGTGTTGCAGCTGTAGAATCCTGAAGGGAAGACAAGAGAACGTACATACACAGGTGAACATATCGCCCAGTAAACAGAATAGAGTCCAACAATGGTCTAGCACATGTGTTTACCTGCTGGGGTGGGGGAATCAGTCAGAAGGGCATGTATATCTTCCACAGCGTCCGTGTCATCAATCTAGAAGAATATTAAAACATTAAAAAGATCCTTCAGTCTGCAAAATGCATTTCCAGCATCTCCATGTTCATCTCTCGAATCCATCAACCTACAGTGCAAGCCAACTTACCTCCAACACAAAGGCATCCTTCTTCCCATGGGATAGGTCTAGTTCTGAAACCTCATCTGAACTCTCTGATTGAGAACGAAAGAGACGAGACCTCTGACGGGGCTCAGGGATCGGCGAACCAATGATCTCTTCGACAACCTCCTATACAATGGGGGAAAAAAATTTTTTAGTTGTGTTTCTGAAAGAGGAACAGGTGGATCAAATAAAATAAAATATAAAAGCCTTGAAATACACTTGATGTGTACATGTACTTACAGGAGGATTGATTTCATACAGTTCTTTGTTTTTAGCAATGGTGTCATTAATTTTCTTCTGCATATTGGAGATATGCTGTTCGTATGTGATGTCACTGGGAGTTTTTCCCGCAATCTGGATTCCTCCAGGACTAGGTAAAGCTGTCAGATAAACTCCTGTTGCAGACTAGATGCAACAAACAACATCTATTAGCATGAAAACAGCAGCATATACAGTCATATTTAATAAAGTACATAAAATGCACTGAGCATTATTGGTAATTGCACACTGACCGCTAATCCTAGCAGCATGGTCTCTCCAACGCTTATTTGGATACGTAGACCAAACAAAGCGTTCATGCCTCGTAGCTTTAATTTGTTCATCAGCTGTGTGTGGAGTTCGTACTCTAAAAATGGCAGAAGATTGCTAATAACCGTGGCATTCCCTTCTCCTTGCGCCTTCTTTTTAGTCCGGCACAGCCTATAGTGAGATGCAAAGAATACCCGGATGACCTTCTGAATGGAGCACATTGTGAGAAATCTGTATCCGACAATGCAATGGGCTTGACTTAACGTTCATTCAAAGTAATTATTCACTTGGGACAAAAACAGTTTCAAATGTCTGTTTTTATAAATTCACTCAAATGCAACATTGTCATGTCTCATTACAAGTGTGGGAAGATGGTTGACGCATGTCACGCAAGTCACTCAAACTCAGAGCAGATGCAACAATGGGTTTGTGTGGAAGTTTTTACTACAAACTGAGTCACTATGAGAAACTGAAAACCCTAAATAATGAGCTGCATGCGTGTAAAGGAACACAGTGCTGTGCTTCATGCTGAAACAGGCAGCACACATATTTATCTAATTAAATCGTAGCCTTTGAGATTTGTTTTATTTCAATTACATGTGCAGCCCTACACACTGCTATTTAAAATGTATCATTGCATACTAAATATAGTTTCATATACTATTTTCGTTATACTGTGCAGTATGCAACACAATAATATACCATCTGGACAGGATGTCCTGTGCATGTAATACCTGGCCTGAATCAGGCAGCCCTTCCCGGTGACGTTGGCTTCAGTAGGCAAGTCTATTGTGGTGAAGAGGACATCGGGCACTTTGTAGCGGCGACAGCAGTAGCAATAGGTGAGCTGAGCAGGAAACGGTATATTCAACTCATCGTATGGTATGTGACAAAACCCACAGCCAGGGGACACCACCTCCTCAAATCTAACAGAAATAAACACTGCAATTAGTACATAAACAATAACACAAGGGCACACACACAGACCCAATCACCCAAATGAGCTAAAACTGAATAAAAGAATTACATAAGCATAAAAATGTGTCAAGGTGGTATTATTTTTATGCAGAGACTAATGTTTTTAGCCCTCAGGACTTAATTTGGTTAGTAGCCGTAAAAAAACACCCTCAGCAAACATACACAGACACACACACACACACACACACACACCAATTTAATTAGTATTGTTTAGTATTGAGATAAAAGGAAAAGTTCACCCAAAATGAAATTTAAGTTATGATTTACTTACACTCGTTTCGTTCCAAACCTTTTAGCTTTTAATGCCACCATGAAATCCAAATTGACAATACTGCAGTGTTTATTAAAAATGATTAATTCATCAATATCATTTTTTTAATTGATGTGCTCTTGTAATCTTTAATCAAAAATATTAACTTTCCCTTCCCTCGCAACAACATCCCTTCACATAAGATTGCAGCAAACAAACAATCTAATAAATTCCAAATCCTAAATTTTTTATATTTTTTTACTTGTTCGAGAAGCCATTTCACTCAAATATATGGCATGTTTCATTAAAACAGACAGGGTGAACTGTCATTTCATGCTATCTTTAAAGTTGCTGTATGACTTTAGAAGACTGGGGATATAGCAAACAAGTTGAATTATTATTATAGATTATAGATAATGTACTTATGGTTCACCTTTTTTGAAGTTTGATAAAACATGAGGGGAGAGTTAATCACATTTTTTATTTTTGGGTGAACTATTCTTTTAAGAGTCCCTTAGCATGGGGCCAAAGGTGTGTGTGTGTGTGTATGTGTCGTGTGTGTCATTAACCTACCCTAGCGATGCTGAACTACCCATATCCCCCTCGACCCTCTCTGACCCTGTAGAAAAGACACAAAGCGGTTGCCGTGACAACCTGTGTTCGGTGTCCAGCGGGCCGTCCTGCATGAACCGGGAGCTGAGGATCGCCGCGGTGCCTGACGCTGATAGAATACACACCTCCTCACTGCAAACACAAAGAGCGCATAATCAGAGCCTTTCATTAAGGCTGAATGACAGAATGAGAAAGCTGTGCAACTAAAAACCAAGACACATATCATTTTAATTGACTCCCTCAACCGTCTTGAAAAACCTGGATATATGAGGAAGCCAAAAAACAATTGAGAACCAGTGTGTAGAAACATCCTCAGAGTTGAGTATTGTGTGTGTGTGTGTTTAAGTACCAGATGCTGGTGGACTCGCTGTACCCCACCACAGCGTGGCAGCCGAGAGCTTTGGCATGAGACTTTATTTCCTGACGGATCTCCTCCCACCACGCATCCCGTGTCTCCGGCTCATCTGAAACAAACATATTTACATCATCACACACACCCCTGGCACATAAACACCCCCTCTCGCTTTAGCAGCATACTAGCCCTGTTAGCTGGTTTATTGATGCTCCCGAATCTGGCACAACTCACAATCAATTTTTGTCTAAAATGTATTTATTTGTTTATTATTACTGTCTATATTCCCAAAGCGTATTTTTGTCAGCTGAACATCTTTGAACAAAAAAACTGAAATTAATATTGAATAACTGAACAACACGTGTTCTCTGATGTCAGTTAATGGTCACATGACGTAGGTAAACAAAATAGTAAATATTTTTAGCAAGGTGTCTATTTTAATATTGTTTATTTATCATAACTTTTCATTTTTATGATTTAATTATTAGCTTTTCATCAATTCACGAACCCCCTGCAGTTCTCTCATGAATCCCAGTTTGGAAAACTTGGCTTTATATCAATTATCGTAGGAATCATTTTCAAAGAGATTTTTTCTAGATGATGAACGATAAAAACACTGACAGTCAGAACTTTAAAATCTTCTTATTTTCTAGAGAGTTTGTTTATGCATCAGAAAACGTAACGTAATTGAGTAGTAGCTTGAGCGAGCATGTGGTGTGAAACAGGCCTTACAACATCATCAGAACATCAGTTTTATTAATTTAGCTGTATATATATTTTTAACAGTGACAAATATCAAAATTGTCCTCAGAGAGGGAGCAAACCGTGAACTAATGCAAACAAGGCTAGTACCTGAGCTTTTCTCTTTCACACACACATACACACACTCGCACACATGCACGCACAGGTGCTCACACTCTCTTAGAGCAAGGGGTTTTCACGAGATCAAACTCCCCTGCCTGTTTACCACAACTAGGAGAGGGTCGAGGGGAATGAGGAAGATGATGATGATGGTGAGGACGAAGAGGAGAGTGGTGTGATTTGCCATTCTCCTGACTGACAGCTTTCATGAACTAATCTACAACAGTAGGCAGAGCATTCCCCTGCTAGTGCAGTCATGCTTCCCAATGGAGGACAAACTCCATCCTATTCTGGATAAACAGCCAACAGCAGGAGGGAGTTTGATTAATAATGGTAAGGTTAAAGAGAGAAGTGCACAGCAGAAAACAGACCAGAAGCAGAAGAAAGTGTGAAAAAATAAATAAATAAAAACAAAAATAAATGATGACCTGATGCTCACCTTACCACTGCTATAACGTGATTCAAATCACTCGTAGCATACGTCCACAATTAACTTTCTTCTAAACTAAACCAAGCTTTCATTTGCTTTTGTAAAAACAAATAATTCTCAATTCATTGAAAAACAGCACAAGGTTAAAGAGAGAAGTGCACAGCAGAAAACAGACCAGAAGCAGAAGAAAGTGTGAAAAAATAAATAAATAAAAACAAAAATAAAATGATGACCTGATGCTCACCTTACCACTGCTATAACGTGATTCAAATCACTCGTAGCATAAGTCCACAATTAACTTTCTTCTAAACTAAACTGAGCTTTCAATTGCTTTTGTAAAAACAAATAATTCTCAATTCATTGAAAAACAGCACCCGTCTCAAAAATAACTTTTGCCACTTCTGCCAATGATAGATAAAATATACAGGCCAATAAATATGCCTTAAAGCCAAGAATTGCATTTGCATTATTGAACTACATAAATTTTTTATCATATTAAATTATATTACATAATTAAATTATTTAAATATATAAAATTCCTTTATTATACCTCTGGCAGCTTTTTAATTATCTCAATATTTGTGACAAATGGTTTGTATTTCTTGTGTATATCAGAAAGGTCAGACTATTTTTATTTACTCACCAAAACCAATTTATTTTTCACATTTTTATATATAGATTTAAAAAAAACACTAAAAGATGCATTAATGAAAAATAGGAGTTAAAAAAATATTCATTCAAGAAAGCAAATGTCCTTTTAAAAATCCCCCACTGACATTTACAACCCCAGACAATAGCCCTTTTCACACAGTAATACCAGTAAATTGCCGTAAAATTACCAGAATGACTTTAACGGCAAATTCAAAAATGCTCTATTCACACAGGCAACGACATTCACACATCGGTTTCAAATTACCGGTAAATTCTGTGACATCATTAACCAGAAATTACCTCTAAACGACTGCACCTCCTGGTGTTATGTTTGTAAAAATAAACATGTTTTCATTTTTGTGTCAAACGTTCACATTCATGCAGCGCTTTTGGTCCAGAGACATCATATTAGACGACCTTAAACTGAACTACACAGCGCAGAGTAAATGCGTTATATGCGTCAAAATGTTATGATTGGCCCAGAGCCACTGAATTTTGAATTTCAATGGCGCTGGATTGGCCCTGAGTAGATGTCTTACGTCAAGCATAATCTGGCAGGGTGCAAATTTCGGCACTACACCGGTAATCTTCATTCTGCATTCGCACACATCCTCATTCCATCAATTCACTGGTAATGTTACAATTTATCATACCGGTAAATTGTCTGAACGGTGTTTTTGAAAAGGTCCTGTTCACACATTATCTCTTTATGGCAATTTACTGGTAATTTTCCAGTAAAGTCTGTATGTGTGAAAGGGGTAAATGACTACTAATCAATATCAGAGCACATGTGATATCAGCTTACACAAACATAATCCATAATGTATGAATCCTTATTACTTTAGTAGAGGGAAGCAACAATGACCACAGAGGCAGCAGCACTGCCAAGGGCACAGAGGTCATGAGACCTTTCATGACTGAAAGTAGAACATTGCCTAAGTCCACTTCACTGGATTGGTAGATCAAGAGGTCATGTGATCAAGGAGCAGGGGACGCTGGGTAAGGGGTCAGGTGAAGCGCAGTCAGAGCAGATCAAGGAATGATCAGCCAGAGCAGAGAACAGCCACGCATCCAGCTAAAACATGCAGCAGCTGCCAGACACACACGTTCATACAGAAGCACAGCGCGTGGCAGCTCATGCAACACACACTACTGAGAAAAGGCTTGAGGTTGTATGTGCGAGTCTGTGTATATCTGAGATTGCCCGTGTAAGGCATAAATGACTCCTTTTACACGCTTAATTCATCTTTATTATCTTTATAAGTATTTGTAATCACTCTTGACAAAAATCAACTCATCTTCTTAATTGTGAATATGCACTCAATAACATATTTCAATACATATTAAGAGAAAAGTTCACTGTAAAATTTTAATAAGTCATTTACTGACCCTCCTGTTATTCAAAACCTGCATGACTTTCTTACTTAAAAAAAAATCTCCTTTTGTGTTGCATGGAAAAAAAATTCACGCTGCTCTTTTTTCATAAAAATAAGGCAAAGGGACAAAACAAGCACCTTAAGTCCAAACAAGCAGTACAAACATTTCATGAGCGCTATATTCCTTAAGTCATACTGAACTATTTGTGATGCACAGGCAGACACTGAAGATGTTATTTGCTGACAACCTTCCCATTTATTGCAGATTGGTTATGAGACATGCAAGAACCAGTGGTGTTTGGCGACATCCACACAAAACCTGTTGTGGAAGGTCTTTACATGCTATGCTTTTCATTTTACGAAAAACAGCAGCTGAACGTCTTTTTTGTGTTCCTCAGAAGAAAGAAAATCATAGAGGTTTAGAAAAACATGAGGGTCAGTATATGATGACAGAATTTCATTATTGTGTGAACAGTCCCTTTATGCATTATCACAATGTTGATTAATTGCTAAAGGAGAATATTCAAAATTCAATACTATCTCAAAACCAATAATACGTATTAATATTTAGGAAAGTTTGTAACAGATGAGCTGCCAAGGGCTGCATGTGTGTGTGTGTGTATGTATGTGTGTGTTTGTGTGTGAAAAGCAGGACTGAGGGTAGGGTAGTACCTGCAGTGAAACTATTCCAGTCTAGCAGTTTGTATGATCTGGTGTTACCCAATGCTGAGCCAAATCGCCACATTAGTAGATCGGTTAAAGGAGCGGAGAGAAAAAGAGAGAAAGAGAGAGAGAAAGAGAGTAGAAAAGAAAAAGAAAACCAAACACCAACTACAAACAAGAACACAACACTGGACAACACCACTCCACAGGAACTGCAAAGTCAGACAAGAGTTATCTGAGCGGGTGACCACGAGAACGAGAGAAGAGATGGACAGAGAGGAAGAAAATAGAGGTCTGGGAGAGAGAATTAGGGGGAAAGAGGTAAAAGAAGAAGAAGAAGAGAGAAAGATAGAGAAAAAAAGCATGCAGCAGCACTATGTCAGAGGCTCTAAACCAGCACATCTACAATAAAAATACATGAGCGGCTCCTTCAACCAAACCATGCTTTAATTAATGCACACACACTCGCAAACACTAATAAAACCTTCGTACACAGATGTAGTAGTAGATGTGTTTCATTTGTATGTTGTGGAATAACAACTGTGGGTGTATGTGTGTGTTTGCAGTCATCTATAAGTTACAATTAAGAAAATAAAAGAATAGACACTCTCTGAGTTGTAGTTCAGAACTTAATTACATTTTTTCTCCCTTTAATTACACTCCACTATACAAAATAACAACCTCTCTATGTGATACCTTAATTGGAAACATGTCAGCATGCAAAATGTAAATTAGTAGGTAATGGCTCAGCTTGGTTAGCTTAAAGCCTGAATCCATGCAAGTTTTAAAGAAATACAATCAGATCACTGCAATGGGCAGCATCACAAAAGGTGACAAGGGCTATGGGTCAAACTGAGGATAGACAAATGTTAGGATGGGTAGGGAATGAGAATTAAAAAGAGTATGAGACAAAAAAAAAAACAGAAAAAAATTTATATATTAAATTCATGCAACAGGGATGTAAAAGTTCACCCTGACAAGCATTTATTTGTTTATTTATTTTGCAGTGCATCATGAAATTTCATCATGATTTAATTCTATTTTATTATTTTGGTCTGATTCATAATTATTTAAAAAAATTAGCTAAATACACAAATAACAGGGACAATCGAACAAGTTCTTGTAGACTGAGAGTCTGAATTTGGTAGATTTCTACAGCTCAAAATAGTGTATACAGTCAAACCAAAAATGATTCAGACACCAGATATAATTTTTGATATCTTTTTACTAGTGGGTGCAAGACACTATAGTTTATTTATGTAAGTGTGGATAGCAAAATAAAGTGAACTGTGACATATTATACTCAAAAATTCTTCATACAGTGGACTACCAGTGAAACTGAAAAAAAATTGGGACCAAAAATTATTCAGACACCTTGACCTGACCATGTTTTGCCTAAGTGTTTTTTTTGTTTAAACTGCTTAATGCGACCTTTTTAAACCAGACTGAACAAAATTAAGCATTGGTTGGTAATTGGTTGACCTAAATTGGTATTATCTAATTGTGTACTTAAATTACCAGATGAATAATTTTTGGTTGATTGTAATCCATAACATACATTTCTATCAAAGTTATCTAACATCATCAAGATGCATTTGTTCTGTGTGATGAGAGGGGCGGGGCCGAGAGCCATGGGAACGGAGCGAGGCCGGTGGAGTAAATGCTAATGCGCGACACCTGTGCCACTCACCGGTCTCGAGTCTCACGGAGGAGCTCCGGAAGGATAAAAGGAGGAGTGACGACGACGTGACGTGACGACGTGTTGGACGAGAGAGGACCAGGCCTGGATTTTATTTTGTGTTTTGTGTGCGGCAGTCGTCCGTGAGGGGCTGCCGCTTTACTTTCATTTTGTGTTTGTTTATTTTATTAAAGTCTTTAAATGTTCGCCGGTTCCCGCCTCCTTCTTCCCGTGACTACGAACTTTGTTACATTCTGAAACAGCTTAACTTTGAGTTCTTGTCATATTTTATTACCATTTTCTAAACTATAGCAAATAAACTGTGATAATGTGAGAAATGTTGAAGGTGTCTGAATAAATTTTGGTTTGACTGTATATGCATACTTAAAAAAATACTAAAAAATGATAATCAATAATAATTAAGCAGCAAATCAGCATTTTCCATCAAAGGAATAAATTACATTAAAATATATTAAAATATAAATAAGTATATAATGGTCATTATGTTTCATAATATTACAGTTTTAATATTTTAATAAAACAAAATGATCATTTCAGTAATTATAATAAATTTAGAATCAAATAATAATTATTACTTAAATTTTATAATATATATAGCTATACATTGTCTTAAATTCACAAAGCATTTGCATTTCCAAGCTGTGCATTAAAAGCTTGCCAAAACCTGCCACTTTTCAGTTAAAATTTTATATTAAACTATTATACAATAGAATATTTGATTACACTTTATTTTAAGGTGTCCTTGTTACAGTGTAATTATATATTTAAGTACTGAGTAATATTAATTAACCACATGTATTTACTAAATGGTTAGGGTTAAGATTAGGGTTTGGTTTAGAGCTACTTGAATGTAATTATTCATAATTAATTGTTATTATAATACATTTACATTTAGTCATTTAGCAGAAGCTTTTATCCAAAACGACTTACAAATGAGAACAATGGAAGCAATCAAAATCAACAAAAGAGCAATGATATACAAGTGCTATAGCAAGTCTCAGTTAGCCTAAAAAAAGTACATGTAGCAAGGTTTTTTTTAATTATATAATAAATAAAAAGAAAACAGAATAGAAAAAGAATAGAGCAAGCTAGTGTTAAAGGCCTTTTTTGCTTCTGTTAATTGTATAATAAATAAAAAGAAAACAGAATAGAAAAAGAATAGAGCAAGCTAGTGTTAAAGGCCTTTTTTGCTTCTGTTAATTGTATAATAAATAAAAAGAAAACAGATAGAATACAAAAAGATTAGAGAAGCTAGTTTTAGTTTTTGTTTAAAAAGAAAACAAGCAGTTTGTAAATGAATAGAGTGCAAGTCTAAAAGGGGCAAGTTTTTTTTTTTTTTTTAAAGGGGTGGTTCATTGCGATTTCACTTTTTTTAATGTTAGTTAGTGTGTAATGTTGCTGTTTGAGCATAAACAATATCTGCAAAGTTACGAAGCTGAAAGTTCAATGCAAACGGAGATATGTCTTTTAAAATTCTGGCAGTTTAATGCCTACAAAAACGGCTGGTAGGGACTACAACGAGGTACTTCCCGGGTTCATGACATCACAAACCCAGATAAACCCCGCCCTCGAGAAAAGGCAGCAAAGGGGGCGAGGCCTGCGCTGCTTTAGAGAAGAGGATGAGAAAACTAGAGGTGCACGTAAAAATCTGTTCATATATGAATCGCGATTCTGTCTTTTATTTATTTGCTACATAAAACATCTGCACGAAACAAAAACAGCAGGTTTGAATGAGACGCACTCTCTGACAGCAGGTGGCACCTATGAACAGGGTTGCCAGGTTTTCACAATAAAACTAGTCCAATCATGCATTTCGAGGGGGGTTCCCCTGTAAAAATCGCATTCCGAGGGTAAAATACACGTTTTTCGGCGGGGATCTTCCAGTAAAATTCACATTCCAGGGACTAAATATCACGTTATTGGGGTCGCTTCAACCCGCAGACATGAACAACAACCCGCGGCAACAGTGTTAAAGTAGCCCAATTCCGCGGGAAAATCGCGATAGACGGGTTGGCGACCACTGATTTAGAGGGTCAAATGAAGATGGAAGAGATGTGTTTTAAGCCGATTCTTGAATAATAGTAAGTACATGTAACATGTAACAAGGACACCTTAAAATAAAGTGTTACCGAATATTTTAAACGTTGTATTAAATTGCATTAATACCAATATTTACATTCCCATAATGCACTGTCAGCACAGACTAGAAAGGGTACATGTGGGTTTTCAAAAAGTATTTTTTGTGCATGTGCTAATAGTGCAAAAATGTAATAGGCAAAAATAATGTTCAGGGGAGATGAACATTAAAAAATCTTCTCAAAATCTTCTACAAGCAAATAAGAGTAATAAGAGCATCCCAAGCTGGAGAGGACAAAACATTAAGGCCAAGAAATGGTGCATGTGATGCAGAACATACACTGTACAAAGAACTTAATTTGAAAATACAACAAAAGCCTCACCAACAACATGCACACTGTCAAACTACCTCATAAATGCACCTGCTGATTGATTTATCATGTGCTAATAGTGCAAAAATGTAATAGGCAAAAATAATGTTCAGGGGAGATGAACATTAAAAAATCTTCTCAAAATCTTCTACAAGCAAATAAGAGTAATAAGAGCATCCCAAGCTGGAGAGGACAAAACATTAAGGCCAAGAAATGGTGCATGTGATGCAGAACATACACTGTACAAAGAACTTAATTTGAAAATACAACAAAAGCCTCACCAACAACATGCACACTGTCAAACTACCTCATAAATGCACCTGCTGATTGATTTATGTTCTTGCTACAGTGAAGTTATGTTTCATGTTGTTTTAAATTGTGTTCATGTATCATATATTTGGTGCATTTGCTTGTGTTTGTGCTTGTGGAATATGAGCAGTCTTACCTGGGTTGTGGATTCGATCCAGAAGCTTTACTGAGCGCGCACTGACCACACCACCCACATGAAGGAGAAATCCAGGAGGGAAGGCGGCCAACGTGAAGAAAGGGTATTCCTGAAACACACAGAACGGTGATGGAGGGATCATACAGAAATGACACAGGTGACCCACTGGCATTCTTGCAAATGTCTTGAAGACAGGTGAACTTCTGTACTGAAATCTTTACACAGAACTAAAGATTTTACAGCACAGAAATTAAAACCTGTGGGTCATGCCATTATAGGGCTGCACGATTATGACAAAAATCATAATTGTCGATTATTCCCTTGAAATTGTAATTGCGATTATTAATTACGATTATCGCAATTTACATTGAATGATGTTTATACCATTGTTTGATGCAACTGCATGCCGTATTTTTATATGAAAATAAACAAGCTGAAAACACTCTAACTGAAAAACCTTTAGTGTTTTTCTATAGTATTAAGCCTCAAATCTCAAATATACATCGGATTGGTTTCTTCTTTAAATTATACAAAAAGGAAAAATATGAATGGTATTATAATGTTACACTAAAACTAAAACAATGGAAAAACAATGTAGAAAGAAAAAAACATATATTAAGCGTGCAGAATAACATAAGTGGGCTTTGAACGATTAATTGCCGCTTTGAACGATTACGTAATTGTGGCATCCATAATTGTAATTGCGATTAGAAATTCGATTAATTGTGCAGCCCTATGCCATTATATTGTCAATATTTAGCAATCGCAACACAAGACTCATGCAGAGATACAGAGACTCAGACACTGTAGGAGACAGGCTCTTTTACTGGGTAACAAATCTGTTAAGTGCAATACATCAGGACTTACCAGTTGATGTAAGTGGCTTAACATTAACAAGTGGTAATAAGATGCTCATAAAAGCAAATAGAAGCTCTTTTACTTATAACTTACCATTCTGATATACTGCATGCAAATTAGGGCTGCCCTCGACTAAGGATTTTTCTGGTCGACTAGCAGTCGTTCATTTGAAGCATTAGTCGACTAATCGCATATTTATTAACAAACCATTTGAAATCATTATAATGCGCCTTTAATTGCCTATAGCCTAATAAGCGCACGCATAAAGCTTGCCACAGCACACCGGCAGAAGAAATAATTATGAATGTGTCAGAGAAAAACAGTAAGGAGGCTGCGTTAACATTTTAATAATTTGATAGGCTAAACTACGTGCTTTCTTTGTTTTCGGCTGAAGAGATGAAGTCGGTTATTTTCGCAGTAGTGAACGTATGCATGCTTCATATAGATTACATAATCTGAGAATATTTGTTTTCCATTTGAATTGGTTCATTTGAAAGTAGACATTTCGCTCTCTATAGATATGTTTTTCATATCTGTAAGGCAAGTATACACGTATAGTTTCGGAGTTTCACGCTCAAGTTCACATGACCAAGACGGCAGAAGGAACACACATCCTGTTTGCTTTCATTATTTTACAAAAGCAATGTTTTGTTGTTATTCTGAGTGCACACAAATAAACGTAGTCTTTACAGATTTGAAAGATGCATTATGCCAAGTTCACACTGCACGATTTTAGCCCTGATTTTCCTTCCCCGACAGGTTTTGCAAAAAAACGCAGACAAATGCCCGAAATCGGAGGCAAATCGGTGCTTGTTCACGCGAGTGACAATCACACAGTGTGAATTATAAGACGCGATCTGAG